ACAACAGACCCACCTCAGAGCAAGAGACCTACGCAGATTGAAAGTAAAGGGATGGAAAAAAATATTCCAAGCAAATGGGCATGAGAAAAAAGCCGGGGTTGCCATACTTGTATCAGACAAAGTAGATTTCAAATCAAAGGCCATAAAGAGACACCCAGAGGGGCACTTTATAACACTTAAAGGAAGAATCTATCAAGAAGACATCAACATTATAAACTTACATCCTCCCAATACAGGAGCCCCCAAGTTTATAAGGAAATTGTTGGATGACTTCAAAAAAGATATAGACAGCAACACACCGATAGTAGGGGATTTCAACACCCCACTGTCAAAAATGGACAGATCTTCCAAACAAAACATTAATAAACCTATTGTGGCGCTGAATGACACACCGAATCAAAGAGACTTAACTGACATATATAGAACCTTACATCCCAAAGAAGAAAAATACACATTCTTTTCAAATGCTCATGGCAGTTTTTCAAAGATAGACCACATGATAGGACACAAAGCAAACCTCAGCAAATTCAGGACAATTGAAATAATACCAAACTTTTTCTCGGACCACAAGGGCTTGGAACTGTAAATCAACCTCAAAGAGAAACTTCAAAAACTTGCAAACTCATGGAGACTGAACAGTAGACTATTAAACAATGAATGGGTCAATAATGAGATAAGAGAAGAAATAAAAAAATTTCTGAAAACAAATGAAAATGAACAGACAACAGTCCAAAACCGATGGGACACAGCAAAGGCGGTCCTGAGAGGGAAGTTCATAGCAATACAGGCTTACCTAAAAAAGATAGAAACATTTCAAATAAAAGACCTAACACTACAGCTTCAAGAACTGGAGAAACAACAACAAATAAATCCCAGAGCAAGTAGAAGGAAGGAAATAGTCAAGATGAGAGCAGAACTGAATGACATAGAGACAAAAAGAACAATTCAGAGGATCAACCAATCCAGAAGCTGGTTCTTTGAAAAGATAAATAAAATTGACAAGCCTTTAAGCAGACTCATCGAGAATAAAAGGGAGAGGACCCAAATTAATAATATCAGAAATGAAAGAGGAGAAATAACAACTGGTACCACAGAAATACAACAGATTGTCAGAAACTACTATGGACAATTATATGCCAAGACATTTGAAAATCTTGATGAAACGGACAAATTTTTAGAAAAGTATAATCTTCCAACACTGAAGGAGGAAGAAACAGAAAGCTTGAACAGACCGATAACAGCTAGGGAAACTGAAGCAGTCATCAAGAAACTCCCGGCACACAAAAGCCCAGGGCCGGACGGTTTCACAGGAGAATTTTACAAAACATTTAAGGAAGAGCTAACCCCTGTCCTTCTCAGACCATTCCAAAAAATCCAAGAGGAGGGGAGACTCCCAGACTCTTTCTATGAGGCCAGCATCACCCTGATCCCAAAACCAGATAAAGACCCTACAAAGAAAGAAAACTACAGGCCAATTTCCCTGATGAACATAGATGCTAAAATCCTCAACAAAACATTGGCAAACGGCATCCAGCAATACATTAAAAAGATTATCCACCACAATCAAGTGGGATTCATCCCAGGCATGCAGGGATGGTTCAATATACGCAAATCAGTAAACGTGATACATCACATAAATAAAAGACAAAAACCACATGATCCTATCGATAGATGCAGAAAAAGCATTCGATAAGGTACAGCACCCATTTATGATCAAAACACTCAGCAAAATGGGAATAAATGGGGTATTCCTCAACGTAATAAAGGCCATATATGAAAAACCTACAGCCAACATCATACTCGACGGGCAAAAACAAAGCTTTCCCACTAAGATCGGGAACACGCCAAGGATGTCCGCTCTCACTGCTTCTTTTCAACATCGTATTGGAAGTCCTAGCCACAGCGGTCAGACAAGAGAAAGAGATAAAAGGCATCCAAATAGGAAAGGAGGAACTAAAGCTATCATTGTTTGCAGATGACATGATAGTGTACATAGAGAACCCTGTAGACTCTACCAAAAAACTCCTCAACCTAATAAGTGAATTTGGCAAAACAGCAGGATACAAAGTCAACATTCAGAAATCAAAGGCATTTTTGTACACCAGCAATGAAATAGAAGAAGAAGAAATCAGAGAAAAAATACCATTCGATATAGCAAGAAGAAAAATAAAGTACCTAGGCATAAATTTAACCAAAGAGGTAAAAGACCTGTACGCAGAAAACTATGCAACTTTGAAGAAAGAAATTAAGGAAGACACAAATAATGGAACCATATACCGTGCTCATGGACTGGAAGAATTAATATCATCAAAATGTCCATACTACCCAAAGCAATTTATACATTCAACGCAATCCCTATTAAGATACCAATGACGTATTTCACAGAAATAGAACAGACATTTCAAAAATTTATGTTGAACCATAAATGACCCCGAATAGCCGCAGCAATTTTGAGAAAGAAAAACAAAGTAGTAGGGGTCACAGTACCGGACATCAAACTCTACTACAAAGCCACTATACTCAAAACAATCTGGTACTGGCACAAGAATAGACCCATAGACCAGTGGGAAAGAACAGAAAGCCCAGAAATAAGCCCAGGTCTCTATGGGCATCTAATATTCGACAAAGGGGGCAGAAGCATAAAATGGAGCCATAACAGCCTCTTCAACAAATGGTGTTGGGAGAGCTGGATGGCTACATGCAAAAAATTGAAATTGGATCATCAGCTGACACCATACACAAAAAGAAACTCAAGATGGATAAAAGACTTAAATATAAGTCGCAACACCATCAAAGTCCTAGAGGAGAACACTGGCAGGAATCTCTCAGATATCCCACGCAGCGATTTTTTCACTGATATGTCTCCTAAAGCAAGGGATGTAAAGGAAAGAATAAACAAGTGGGACCTCATCAAAATAAGAAGCTTCTGCACGGCGAAAGAAAACATCAGCAAAATGAAAAGGGAGCCGACCATATGGGAAAATATATTTGCTAATGATACATCAGATAGAGGTTTGATCTCCAAGATATATAAAGAACTCACTCGACTCCACTCCAAGAAGACAAATGATCCAATCAAAAAATGGGCAAAGGATCTGGGCAGACGCTTTTCCAAGGAGGAGATACAGAGGGCCCAGAGGCATTTGAAAGGATGCTCAGCATCACTAGCCATCAGAGAAATGCAGATCAAAACCACCATGAGGTACCACCTCACACCGGTCAGAATGGCCATCATAAACAGATCAACAAACAACAGGTGCTGGCGAGGCTGTGGACAAAAGGGAACCCTAGTCCACTCTTGGTGGGAATGCAGACTGGTGCAGCCACTGTGGAAAGCAGTGTGGAATTTCCTCAAACAGCTGAAAATGGAACTGCCTTTGGATCCAGTGATTTCCCTGTAGGACTATACCCTAAGAATCCCAAAACGCCAATTCAAAAGAACCTATGCACCCCAATGTTCATAGCAGCACAATTGACAATAGCCAAGTGTTGGAAGCAACCTAAATGCCCATCAGTAGAGGATTGGATCAAAAAGTAATGGTACATATACACAATGGAATACTGCGCAGCGGAAAGAAAAAAAGTACTAAACTTTGCGACAGCATGGATGGAACTGGAGAGCATCATGCTAAGTGAAATAAGCCAGGGGGCGAAAGACAAATACCATATGATCTCACGTATAAGCGGAACCTAACCAACAATACAAAGATGCAAGGAAAATAAGACCAGCAACACTGAAAGGAAAAGAAGTCAACAGAGACAAGAGGGAAGGAGGGAAGGGTGGTGGGGAAATGGAAGGGAAGGGGAAAGTCAAGGAACATATAGCAAGGACTCATGGACAAAACCAAAGGGAAAGAGCTGAGGGAGGGAGGGAGGGCGGGGGCAAGGGAAAGTGGTGGCGGGGTGGCAGAGACAAATGTATTTGAAAAAATAAATTAAAATAAAATTAAAAAAATAATATAAAATAAAATATTCATACTACTAAAAAAAAAATTGCATTTTGTCATTCCCTATCCTATTTCCTGATTTAAATTTTTTCTTAATCATTTACCAGTGCCTAACTTAGAATTTAACTAATATGATCTCATTTATTTTCTTCTTTCCTGCTATCACTTAAGCTGCATGAGGGAATGTTGTCTGTCTTCTTTATGCATTTTATCTCCAGTGTCCAGAACACAGCCAGACCCATAGTAGGCACGTCCATAAGTTGTCTGTAGGTAAAGAATGGGTCAAATATCCCCTTGTCACAGAGGCTCTCCCTGACTACGCCAGATTAAATAGGAGTCTCGTATTAACGTTCTCTGTTTTATTTTTCTTCATGATACGTATTAGCATGAAGGTTCCCTTAACAGCAGGGGCCTTCTGTTATTTTTTTTTTTATTTGCTAAATGAATTAATTTCTTGAACGAATGTACGAATGTAACAGCACCGCGACCCCTCTTTGTGATAGAACTAATTTTTGACGGTACCTTCGAGTCTGCATCCTCTCCCAGCGCTGAGATCTGACGGCCAGGGCTGGGTTTCTGGCAGCGCCTCTTTTTTAAAATGTATTTATGTATTCATTTATTTTTAGAGAGAGAGAAATGGAGGAAGAAAGATGTAGAGAAACATCGACATAAGACAAAAGCATGGATCGGTTGTCTCCCCTACCTACGCACCGTGACCTGGGAGGAACCTGCAACCCAAGCAGGTGCCCTGACCGGGAATGTACACAGCGACCCTTAGCCTTGCCCTTCGCCTGGCAGTATGACGCCCAACCAACCGAAACACTCCGGTTAGGGATAGGCAGCGTCTCTTTAAGACAGCCACGTACCCCAGTGCCAGGCCACAGCGCTAGTTCTAGGTCGGTTGGGCCCGGCATCGCCCCTTTAACCGAAGTCTTGCCCAGCCAGGCAACTTCCGGGGCGGCGTCATTGCCCATTTAAGAGCGGCGCGCTCCGCCCAAGAGGGCGGAGCTTAGAGGGGACATTAAGGGGCCGGCCGGCGGGGGACCTGGGTCCTCTGGGGGGGATTATCGCAGTGTGGACTTGCTCGTCAGGCCGCCATTTCTTGGCATCTCCCGAGGGGCTCCCATTCCTCAGCCTCGCTCGGTGTCCGCTGAGCCGTCGTCCCAGCCCAGGTAAGCAAGCGCAAAGCCTAGCCGCCCCAGCTGCCCTGCCCGCGCCCGCCTTGCTCCACGACCCGATCCCCTCAAAGCTCCGGGGACCTCTCGCTTGCGCTGGTGCCCTGCGTCCGCGACCGATGCTGCGGCCTCGCCCCGGGACCCTTTGGTTGCCCGCAGCTTCTCCACCTGGCCGGCCAACTATAGAACCATCTGAGAGGGGAGGGGCGGTGGCGGCCAATGGGGCAGGGCCGCGGAGTTTCAGGCGATACTGTGTGGCGCGGCTGGAGCGGAGTGCCTCAGGCGAAGCCGGTTAAAGGGTGCCGGGACCGCCTCGCTGGCCCGCCGAGCCTCGTTCCGGAGTAGCCGGAGCCGGGGGTCGAGGGCTTGGTGGGAGGGCGGTGGGTGCCCTTCATCTCCGAGTCGGCGGTTTAGTCGTCCAGCTAGGGAGCAATGTGGCAGGTCAGAGGAAAAAAAAAACAGCTTGAGTTGGTCACGGTCTTGTGACAAAAACCCTAGTACACTTCTGGAGTTAATTTGTGTTTGACTAAAACTTAAGCTACTTGGAAATTGTGAGACAGGTCTGTTCCCTGAAATGACGGGGTCTGAAGGGCCCTCCCCGCACCCGTGGCATTGGGCGAGTTAACGATGGGTTCTTTGGCGTGTAAATATGAATTCTATTTGTCACTATCTTTATGGTTACCAAGTCTCATGAGTTCTAGAGAATAAGAGACCCAAGTCTTCTAAACCGTTTGACAACATTTTAAATTAATATCAAAAGGAATTTTTTAAGATTTAAGGGAGGGGGGGAGTACCCATAACTCGATTTGTAACGTAACTAGCACATTGTTGAACCCTACCTAACATTGTGGATTATTTACGAGTATAAACTGGTTTGCAGGGTTTTCTTTTTATAAGTAGACTAAATTAGAAAACGATACGTACATTTTAACTTCTGTTGAATTAGTCTCTTACAAATAAAAAATTCTCTGACAGGAAAATATTTTGGGATTACCTGGACAGAAGATACTAATATCTTTATGACACTTGCTGTATATTGGTATATTGCTTGATTAAAAAGCAATTGCTTACCAAAGATTGTGGCCACTAGTCAAGTATTGAGAGTTTACACAGTTCATGACAAATTTTTCAGTTTTAGATATGTATTAAAAAAATTAGGTAGTAAAGGCAATTTGTATTTTTATGATTGTAAACGAAACCCTTCTTGTTAGTTCACTGCCGAAAACATTAGCAACAGACTGAAAATTAGTATATAAAAAAAAACCCCCCGTAAGAACCTTCCATCGAAAATTCCACTTTACCATTTGTTAGACATATTCTTCATCAAGTGCCTAATATGCATATTGTTGTGCTAGCTAAGTCATCCTGTTGAACCAGAGTAGGTCCCCGTCCTTGTGTCATAGTGGGGGAAGTGCCCACTAAAACAAGTTATTAAACAGGTGGATGTTCAATTATAGCTTCTTGAAGGGTGTAAAGAAAAGGCTAGGGGTACTAAAAGGCGCACCTAATTTAGACTCAGGAGTCAGGAATGCCTTTCTGAGGAAAAGACATTTCAATTAGAAATCTGAAATTAGCCATGTGAAGTAGGAGAGGGTGGGAGAGTGTGAGAAAGGTTGAGAAAGAGCATTCCACAAAGATGAAACAGATAAGGAGAAAAAAAGACTCTTGAACTGAGCAGGAGGGGTACTAGAGCAGAGTGAGCAGCTGGCAGTGGGCTGCCAAGAATGGTCAGGCCAGGTATAGGAAACAGAAGCAAGGCCATTAAACATTTTTAAACAGGGATCCACTTTGTGGTTGCAAAAAAATCCACAGCAGCAGCATGAAGAATGTAAATGGGGGTGGGAAAAGAGTAATATGGGAAAACATTTTTTAAACGATTTTATTTATTTTTAGAGAGAGGGAAAGGGAGGGAGAAAGGGGGAAACATCAATGTGTGGTTGCTTCTGGAGCATACCCTGCCAGAGACCTGGTCTCAAGCCAGGCATGTGCCCAGACTGGGAATTGAACCAGCGATCCTTTGGATCGCAGGCCAGTGCTCAGTCCACTGAACCATACCAGCCAGGGCTGGAAAACATTTTTTAACAAAAATTTAAAAACTCTTTTGACATGTTCATATATTGTTATAGAAGATTTAACTACTACCTCATGACCTTCTCAGAGAAAACCCCACTTAAGTTTCCATGTCCTTCTTCTAGTCCTTTCATGTGTATAAGATGTAAGTAAATATATGTGTGTGTATTCCACCTCAGTGTGAGATAAAACTATATCCATTTTTCTCTTGATTTCATTTTTCACAAATAACTTTTGTTTGCGTCAGCTGTATTTTAAAAATAGCTGTGTCATATGCCATTGTATGTACCATAATTTAACTACTTGTATGTTGATAGACATATTTAAAGTTTTCTTAAGTTAATTATGTCCTGAAAAATCCTTGTTTCTACAGCTTGAAGCATGTGTGGGACTATTATTTTTAGGAAATTCTATTTTTTTAGAAATAGAATTGCTGAGTGAAAGGTAATCACATTAAAATTTTGTTAGTGTTGTCAAATCCTCCTCCAAAGAGGACAGTGCATTTTTCCCATATCCTTTTCAATACTGTCTACCTTTTAGTCTTTTAAATGACAGGCAGTATCTATTTTTAAAATTTGGATATTCTTGGTTAATGTTGAGGTTGAACATCTTTTTAACGAATATTTTCATTGCATATCACCTTTCAGAGCTTGCTTCTTCATATGTTGCCCATTTGTTTTTCTTTTGGGTTGTATATTAATGATTTGTGATAGTTTTTAAACTGCATATTAATCTTCAAAAGCCCTTCACCTTAATACAGTATTTGTTTCCTTCTAGTATTCATTTCTTTCACTTTTAGTTCATCTGAGATTTACTTTCATGTAAGTTGCTTTCATATTTTTATAAAAAGAACTTGTTATTTGTGGAATTGGGTTTTATAGTGCAAAATACATAGTTATTAAAATTCTAAATCTGAAAGAAGCTGTGTTTTTCCTTAGCAGGTTAACTCTGTATAGTGGTTTTTATTTTAAAGATGTAGGATAAGTGAAAGTCAGAAAACTAAAAATTCATTTGTTTCCTAGGAACCTCAAAGGTATAGTGCATTTTGAACAGTTTTTTCCTTAGAAAAGTTTTTTTTATTATGGAAAAGTTCAACATATACAGAAGTAGTCAGAAGAGTATAATAAACCCTGTGTATCCATCATCCAGCTTCAGCAGTTACTGGCCAGTTGTCTGGCCAGTTTCATCTCTCCCAACTCCCTTTCTTGTATTATTTTAATGCAAATACTAGACATCACATCATTTCTTCTATAAATAAATCAGTATGTATCTTGAAGTTATAAAGACTTAAATATAATCATTCATGTTATTCTTCAAAAATTTATAAAGTTGTATTTCTATCCAACAGGAAAATAGAACAAGATACGTCAGTATAATTTTTGTCATATTAAATGATCTACTAAACATTGGTTTGTGGAATAGCTATCACAGAAAATGTGTCTGTATCTTTTTCACATTTTCCCGATGGGAAATAACTTTGAAATAACATTCTCAATAATTAAAAATATAAAATGTAAACCCAAATCAAAGCAATGTGTTTTGCTTTGCTGTGTATAGTATTCTCATTAACATTAAAGAGGACACGGTTTGGGAGTTTAAAAAAGATAAGGACTTTTTTAAACATATCTTTAATATCATTATTTTATCTAAAATAAAAATGGCAATAATTCCTTGATTATCATTAGCAATCTAGTCAGTGGCTTTGCTAGTTTACATAATTATATAGGAGTATTCATACTTGTAAAAGGAGGATATAATCCTCAGTTTATAGCTACATTATTGTTATTTTTAATATGTTGGTATTAATAGTTCAACTTTTATATTTATCATGTTTACAAATGCATCTAGTTTAAAGTATCAACTAGTTATTGCAAGATTTGTTAATATATAACAACAAATCTTTCTTAAAAATTTTTTATTTTGAAATAATTTTAGACTTCTGTAGACGTTAAAACAATAGTACAGAGATCCATATATCTTTTACCTAGCTTTCCCAAATGGTTACATTGGACAACTTAAGAAAAAAGTTTATTTGAATTAGGATCTAAAACAGGCCCACATGTTGTGATTGTTTGATATGTATGTCAAGTCTCTTTTAATCTGTATTTTCCTTTGCATTTCTTTATTTCCCCCTTGCTATTTGTTGAATAAACTATTAATTTTTTTGAAAAATAAATTTCTCGTGTATGTTTTGTTTGTATTTTCATTCAGCTTCTTTTTAGCTATGATCTTTGATAATTTCTTGTCTCTAAAGTGAGACTTTACATGAATGGTGTTATGATTGGGTAGAAAGAGAAACCAAGATTTGGAGTCAGAGAATCAGAGTGTGAGTCCCTGTTTTCACTGTTTACTAAATAATGGACTACTTGGCCATTGGTTTAATTTCTCTGACTCTGAGTTTATTCATGAAAATGAGACAGTACTTTGGGGAGTTTTTTATGAGGACCCAGTAAGATTATTTACTAAACACTTGTACTTGATAATGAAATGTGCTGGGTGGCTTGCTGTTCAAAGTAGGAATTATTTCCTCAAGGGACTTACAATAAAGGAGACAGGCATGCAAATAAATAATTAAAATCTGATTAGTGAAGCAGTAAAATATTTTCCAGGTTCAGTCTTAACTTGTTTTTCTGAGAAGATATAGGTAGAGTTGTTGAGTTAATAGGAATAAGGAGAGACTCTGATAGAAGCCTGGGATAACAAATACAACACAGCCATTCATAGGCAACTGAAATGAGACTGGTAGCAAGATGCCGAGGGAACAGTGCCTGAAAAAAATACCTGGGGAGATAGAGACTGGAGCCAGATGTTATTGTATGAGTGCTTTGTAAACTTGAAAGCTATCTAAGATTTTAGTTATTTCCTTGGGATCAAAGCAGATCATCGTACAAATGACAAGTATGGCTTTTCCAGTTTACCTAATTATGTAGGAATATCTGTACTTGTAATACGTGTACTATAACCTTTAGCTTATAGGCACTTATTTATTTTTATCCTCAATTGAGGATGTTTATGGATTTTAGAGAAAGAGGAAGGGGGAGAGAGAGAGAAACATCAATGTGAACAACATCCATTGGTTGCCTCCTGTGCTGGGGATCAAACCCACCACCTAGGTATTTTCCCTGACCAGGTTGCAACCTTTTGGTGTATGGGAGGACCCTCCAAACAACTGAACGACCAAGTCAAGGCTAGGCAGTTTTTTTTCCCCTCACCCAAGGTCATTTTTTTCATTGCTTTTAGAGAGAGAGGAAGGCAGAGATTGGGGGGCAGGGAGAGGGAGGGAAGCCCTTATTTTTTAGTGTGATTATATTTATTTAAAATTAGCTTTTATTTTTATCAAGTTTATCAGTATATCTAGTTGAACGAGTCATCTACTTGTTAGGAAGGCTTCTTTTGAAACTCAGCACTCCCCTGAATTCTTTTCCTTCTCAAGTCAACCACTGTCACATTTTAAATATCATGCTCTTATTGCTACTTCTTGATTTTTAGTTTTAGGAATTATCTATTGAATTCTTACTAGGTAAAATGAGGAATTAGATCTCCATTTACACCTCTCTCTTATACTGTTCATTCACTTATAGTTATGGATATATGTGTGTGTATGTGTGTGTGTATATATATGGTTATGGTTAAGTCAGTATTTCGTACTTGTGTTATATGGTATGGTTAGGTCAATATTAAGTATTTATACTATTATAACTAAACTATTAGCTGAGTCATATAGTACCGTGATTACTTTCCCTTTTCCGTACTTTTTGCTTTCTCTGGAATGAATAATTGCCTTTTTTTTGTTTGTTGGCTTAATCATATTTATGTGTTTTTCTCAAACTCTTAGTTTTATAAATTCAGACATTAGGTTCGCAAAGTAGTTTTTGTAGCATTTCCATTTAACTTTAATATTACTAGAGATAAGAAACAAAGTAACATTAATTTGCTATGATAAAGAATGTTTATATTAAGTAGCAATTTAAAATCTGTAAGTAATACTAAACTATTTGATAAAAACTTATATTTGAAATATATTTGTATTTTAGTTGAAGTAGATAATTGCTTTTGTATTTTGTTGTGAAAGCTCAGAAGAAAAATGGAACTTCTTAGGATTATTATAAGCAAAGGATAGCTTCTTGTATGGCATTGTCTCCCTAATGTTTGAGGGGGTTTATGGTTATTGTACATATAATTTATTGATTCAAAGACCTGATGAACTTCATAAATGTTTGCCCTTTCCTGTCAGATAAGCTTTTTATAAAATAGTCCACTAAGTTTAGAAATGCTGTAAGCCATAGTTCTATTTTATATAAAGTCTTCAACAACTTTGAAGTGTCCATTTTTAATTATTTTTTTCAAATTTACTTCACCAGGAGCCATTTTAAATAACATATCAATGTCCACAGGACTATACTAAATAACACCATTTTTTTCTAACTGCAAATTTGGGAGTCTTCTGATCGTTTTCTCTCCTGTTTTTATAGTGACAAAAATGCTGAGCTTCCTCCGTAGAACACTTGGGCGTCGGTCAATGCGTAAACATGCTGAGAAGGAACGACTCCGAGAAGCTCAACGAGCTGCCACACACATCCCTGCAGCTGGAGATTCTAAGTCCATCATCACGTGTCGAGTGTCACTTCTGGATGGTACTGATGTTAGTGTGGACTTGCCGGTACGTAGGTCTCGCTGACTTGCAAATTCTATATGAGATCACTTCTTCATATGAGCATTCTACTTGATAACTTCCTGGGGGAATAGGTAATAAGGGTTAGTGTGGGTCAGGCACTGAAACATACAGGTACCTGAATTAGGTAACTTTAGGAACCTGGCATGATAGTATTTCTCTCGAATTAGTGGCCATTAACTAAACATTTAAATGATAGGATAGTTATTGATGCCAGTCATTTGTGTGTGTGTGTGTACTTTACAATGGCAGTACATTGTGCACTCCAGTGGATTTCTCACAGTACTTACTGAGCAGTTATTACAGCAATGAGAATCTTTGGCAACCAGAATGGTACTCCCATATATACTGTAAGACACCTATTTGTATATACTTTTCTGCAGTTTTCAAAACATTTCTCACCTTCCTCAAAACAATTACTTCCTCCGCAGTTTGGTATGCTTGCAGAAATTTTAGTGAAATGAGGTGAGAAAAAGTATTTTCTTTATATTCCTCACCTCCGACTGCCTATCTCTTTGCTCCCAAAGTCTTTTGCCGCAAAGGTTTTTCATACACTGTGATCTTTATTTCAAGACAGGGTGTTGTAATTATATTCAAATTTTGGGTAGTTTTTTTACAGTCATAAGTAAGCCTAACTCACAGTGTGAATTATTTCAATATATTTGAAAGGTGTTAACTTACTCCTTGCAGGCTTTTTTTTTTTTTTTACTAATGCCAAACCTTCCTTTTGTCTTTGTTCTGTATTAAAAGATTTGCATAATTAAGCTGTAAAATGTGTGATTTGATGTGAGCCTCACTAGATGTGAGACAGTGTCTTCCCTCCCCACAAACTTTAGTACATACTCATTTACCCAAAATGCAATCACAAAAAAAAAAAAAAAAGTCTTTTGTGAGAGGTAATATTCTAGTTGCTGCAACATTAGTTGAATAAGCACTGAAAGGCCATAAACTTACACAGTGAGAGATTAAGGATTTGGATAGTTTGTTTAAATACTGTGATTATTAAATAATTTAGAATGTACTAAGTATATACCTCATTCATTTTTAAAATAATGGAATATATACTTAAAGACAGGATTTTTGTTTTCCTTTTTTTTTTAAAGAGGTAATTTTAAAAAGATTTTATTTATTTTTAGAGAGAGGAGAAGAGAGGGAGAAAAAGAGGAAGAGAAACAGTGATGTGCAAGGGGAACATTGATCAATTGGTCACCTCTCGCATGCCCCTTGGTACAGGGACCTGGCCAGCAACCCGGGTGTGTGCCCAGACTGGGAATGGAACCAGCAGCCCTTCAGGTTGCAGGTGGGTGCTCAATCCACTGAGCAACACCACCCAGGGCCAGGATTTCTGAAAGTATTTTAAAGCCATTGTTATACGTATTATCTTTTTATATTAGACTGGACATTTTTAGAGTTTTTGATTCTAGAAGACTTTAAGGCATTTAAATTTTCTTCCTGTAACGGCTTCTTGAGGGTTTGTCAGACATTCCAATATGTGATATTTTGTGAGGATAATTTTCATATTCATTTCTTACTTGATAAGTATCTTAAGATTTTTGTGTACTATTCTATTAAAATATCATTAGATATATGGTGAAAAGCTTGAGATTTCTGTGTAAGAGAACAGAAAGAAGTTTCTTATTACCTAATGTTTGAAGTATGAAGTTTCAGGGTTGTTGATGAAGAGGCTGATACTAGGAAAGTAGGATTTGTAGGAGCTTTTATAAAAGGCAGTGTATTGGGAAGGGAAACAGCACTAGGTTTTAAAGTAGTAGACCAAATAGTTAGTGACTGGTACAGAATGGTTTCCTATTCTTGGTATGCTCAGGAGGGTGTATGTGGTTCTTGACCAAGGCCGGAAATGCAAGCTGGCCTCTCATGCAGACAATTGTAATGAAAAAGCCAGGAGTTTTAGATTTGACTCTGTGGAACTAGAACAACTGCCTTTTCAGCTCTGCAAGTGAAATCCTAGAATTAGTAAACTAACTCTAGATACTTGCATGGATATAAAATGGGCGTTGGCCTGCCAGCTAAAGTAAAAAAGGCCAGAGGAATATTAATTTCTGAGAAGAAAAGGTCTTTCCTTTTTCTGATTTAGCTTCTCAACCAGTCTAGTATGATTCTAAAAGAAGGGTGAAACTAAGATGATTGCCCAGGAGATACTATAAGGGATTATCAGTGATTAAATAGAATAATTTAAATCTATGGACTTCAAATTAATATGTACAAGCAGTAATGGTCATTTTCTTCTTTCTGCTCTCCTTTTGTCTCAAAATTAAGGGAGGGACTTATTTAAATAACTTCTTCCTTTCCTTTCCTTTTTTTTTTTTTTTTTTTTAAGGAACTAATGGAGTGTTAAGGCCTTTCAGTGAATGATAAAGGCATTAGGTGGAAATTTCTATCTGATTTAAACATTTTCTCTTTGGAAATCCCACAGTAACTCCTTTGATTTATGAGTTGAGTATCACTTAGTAAATACCCTGTCTTTTAAAACTCAGTATCTCCTAAGTTTTAAATTAATAGGAAATCTTTAATTAACCAATAGATAATAACTTTATATACCTACTTTGCTGATGTAGATGCTGAAGTATTTAGATAGATCACATATTGTTATACTTTTAAATAAATGAGAAAACCTCTCATGCGCAAATTGAAACACTTAACATTGTTACGATGGCAATGTACTGATCTACAAATTCAGCGTAATCCCCACCAGCATACTAGCTGACTTATTTTTAGAAATTGACAAATTGATTTTAAAATTCATATGGAATTGCAAGGGACCCAGAATAGCCAAAACAACATTGAAAAAGAACAAAGTAGTAGGACTCATACTTCCTTTCCAGTTTTAAGATTTACTGTGAAGGAATGATAATCAAGATGGTGTGCTACTGTTATAAGGATAGATACACATAGATCACTGGAACAAAATAGAGAACCCAGATAAATCCATACATCTGTGATCATTTGATATTTGACAGGGGTGCCAGAACCATTCATTGGGGGCAAAAATAATTTTTTCAACAAGTGGTGCTGGGAGAACTGGATAGCCAGATGCAAAAGAATGAAGTTGGAACCTTACTTCACACCACAGACAAAAATTAACTCAAGATTGGTCAAAGACTTAAACATAAGAGCCAAAAGTATACAACTCTTAGAAGAAAATGTAGGGATAAATCTTAATGACCTTGGATTTGGCACCAGTTTCTTAGATATGTCACCAGAAACATGAACAACAAAAGGAAAAATAAATTGAACTTTATCAAAATTAAAACTTTTGCATGTCAAAGGACACCATCGAGAAACTAAAAAGGCTCACAAAATGGTAGAAAGTATTTGCATAATTATATAATAGCAAGTGTTAGATTGTGGAGAAATCTGAACTCTGTTCCCATTTTTTGGCAGGAATGTAAAGTGGTGCAGCTGCTTTGGAAAACAGTCTGGCAGTTCCTCAAGTGTTTTGAGAGATTCTCTTTTGACATGTCAGATTTCTGTTAGATTGAGCATTATTAACATTAGGAACCTGCAAATACCTTGTGTTCACTATTGGTTGGCCTTCAGTTAGCCTATATTTAGCGGTCAATACATACCCTTAAGAGGTTTTTTATTCTGAGGAGGCAGCTATCCAGTTGGCAGAAGTCCATTCTGAACACAGCTGTCATGTTTCAAGAGGCTGGCAAACGATGCTTTGGCAGAATAAGGATAAGAGTTATTATTATTATTTTTGTTGTTGTGCTTCCTTTTGGTCTTTGAAGCAAATAAAGAATGCTGATGGAATATGAAATTGATTCTGGAAGTGTACCTTAGAATTAAGGTAACAAAAGCATGTAAGTTTGGTATCAAATAAATGCTGCAGGTGATTTCTGTGGCTCTTTCTGTTATAATTTAGGAATATTTTGTGTTCTTTTTAAGGGTGATTGCCATTTGCAAAGTTTTGCATAATTGGTGTTTGCTATTTTAAGTTAGCAGTGCCTTGTGACTTAGTTATTATAAGTATGATTTAAAATCAAAAGTTTTCCCCACGCATACTAAACCTGAATTCTTAATTATAATGAAGGAATGGCCTTGTAACACTATTGAGTAGGACACAAAGGTCAAAACAGAAAGATGTTTAAAAGCATGATTCAGTAGCACCCAATTTTTGTGCATTTATCAAGTGTTTTGAGAACAGTGTCTAGATTTGTGTATAAGTAAAGGATGCCCAAGAAATAGAGAAACATTTTAACTTTTAAATTTGACAATTAAGCTCCTTCGGTGATATTGCTCATTTCTTAAAAGGTGTGGCTATGAAAGCTGTGTTGTTGCTTCCCAAAAAGGAACACTGTCAAATGCATTTTGAATGTTTGTGTTCCCACGATTAGATGACAGCTCCTTGCTGATAACTGCTTTGCCTGATGTAAATATAGTGAACCTCAATCTTGGACTGGGATGTGCTGAATAGCAGATCATATCAAATTCTTGAGCACACAGTCTGGTGAAGGTGTTGTCATGTAAAATAAAGAACTAGTTGAATTAACTGTGTGATGGTAACTTATTAATAAATTTTAACATTTTTCAAAATAAATAAAATCATGTTTTCTTTGTCATTTTCAGTTGCAATGATCTGTCACTTCCCTCCCTGAGTCCATGCTTCTCTTTTTCATTGTGTTAATAGAAGAAATATGTTCAAATATTGAATTAGTTTGTTTTATTTGCCCATGTGGATTTAAGGTTTCATGGTCTTTTGCTGGTTTCTGTCACATTGTTGGCCATTTTTTCTCTTGTTCACTTGGCTTTAGCCACTGAACTTGCTCTTGGAATCAGCCAGATGCTGGCTTTCTCCCCCAAGATTAACCCCTGAAGGGAAGATTAAAAAGATCTAAGAAATAAAAATAATTATTAGAAGGCTCCAGGGAGGGGACTGTTCGTACTGGGGGAGTGTATTTGTGAGCACCCCCAGCTTGGAGTGGTGGTGTCAGTGGCAGCAGTAAGTTAGTGGGACTGTGAAGTAG